AGTGGCGAGTTTATTTTGGGGCATGATGCTGTGCAGTATGATGACAATGGTGAACATAAACTGCCTGTAATTCTCCCTTAGACAGAGCGCTACACAGATCCTTGTGATTACCCCTGTCGTAGATGAACATCAAAGACAGCAGCAGCTACTATGATTTTAAGAAGAGGGGCACCGCAGAAAACAAATGCAGCTACTTTGTAATTGGAGATGAAATTTTATTAAAGTATGACTCAGATGATGGCATAGTCGTTCATGACCACATTACATGTTAGTAATGGATTTATTTTGATCATATAGAGAGATATGTGCATTTAAAGGCAAACTATTTTCAGTATGTTATATGCTATAAATACAGTGCATAATTCCTGGTATAGCTCTAATTTGATTTTAAAACCAAAACAATTTAATGAACAACAAGTAATTCAAAATCCAAAATAGGAGAATGTAATGTTTCACAATAACATCTTACAACACTGTTTCTGTTTTGACCTAAGTAATGGAGGAGAGGGAGGGGGATCTCAGGGTCTTTAGAAGTAAAATATTATAGGATATTAAGCTCATCTCTCTGTGGTGAATTAGTATGTTTTTTACCTTCACATTGCTCAGAGAAATCAATTTCTTTCACCTGGCAGTTGGCAAGGCAACACTGTGATGAACGCGCATACAGGGATGCTCTATGAATCCTAATGGGGCCAGCTGACTAATGACGTGGCCAAGGCGGGTCATGGAGGGCATTAGCATATGGTGAGGAAAACATGGGGAACCAAGGGCATTTTAGCTCATGCTTGGCACATTATACTAAGTCAAGTTTAATATGGAATATCAGTATTTATAATTAGCACTTAATTAAAAATTCTATTCTGAGTGAATATGGCTTTAACCGGTAAAATGAAATGAAAAATCAAAATTAAAAAGGTTCAACAGTCTTATCCAAATGTGCATGAAGCATCTCCTGCTATCTATCCTATAGCTATCTTGGCTCACGCTGATTGGGTTACCAGTGCTAACCTAACAATATCTTCTCTTCTGCTTCCAGCTATCACAGCACTAGAGCTAATCCCTGCTCTGGCAGCCAGTACGAACACAGCTAACCATAATGAAGCCCATTAGTCTGGAGACAATGGCTGCTAGCAAAGCTCAAATGCTGAAAAACACTGGATCATAAAAAAAGCCCATCTTTTACTCTGTGCCTTCAGTTGCTATGACCTGATATTGCCCTCGCTTGAGAGAGCACCCACAATGTCACAGACACATATAGAGCATAAAATGAATGAGCAAACACAATTAATGTGAGACAAGCCTGCAAATACCAGTCGTGAAAAACACTGTAAACTGTATTCCTTTAGAGTAGGAGAGTGAGAGCAAAAGCAAAACAGGGAGAAATAAGACTTCCAGGAAACATAAAAAGAACAAAAGCAGTGTTAAAAGTAACAAAGAAAATGAGAAAGAGGACAGGTAGAAAGAAAAGAGTGATTAAAAGTAGCCAGAAAAGTCAAAAACAGTAAAAGTCTAATGTCTTAAAGTAAAAGCAAAATAGTTACTAAGAAAAAAAATGTTCAACCACTTTTCTTTGCTTGATTAAGTTCCCTGCCAGCTTAAACCGTTTCAAAGAAATATGCCACCAAACCATATTCCATGAAAATGCAACACTGTTAATATGTGGGATACAGCACAAGGTGATCAATATTCCTATGCTGTATTGACTGGAGGCCACACAAGGTCAGTGAAAGCAAATTAGCAAGACAGATCAGGTACTGCGATGAAACAACGACCTGAACAGATGGAAGAGGAAGCCACTAATAAACCCTACTGCCTATTATAATCTCTTGATACGCTGGCATATGATTTGTGTGTGTCTCTTTGTGATGAGAAAACCAATAAACTGAAAAGGAAAAAAAAAAATCCCCACCAAGCAGTTTAAGCCTTCACTGGGACACTGATAGCACTGCATGTGTGTGTGCGTGTGTGTGTGTGTGAGAGAGAGAGAGTGCAAGTGTATTGCACGTAATCTCTAGCAGAATTAATTCCTAGAAATTAAAATGAAAATGGAAAACAAACTGCCCAATAATAGGGCCTTTATCTCAAGGTCAGCATCACAGAGTTTAGGGTGTCCTTATGAGCACATACTAAGGTACAGGATGATGGCCTAGAATAAACGGACTTAAAACTAATACTATGTTAGGGTGGTCACTACTATGATATAGATTCATAAACACAGAGAAATAAATGAATACAATTTATAATAGCTCTCAAGCACAAAGCAAATTGTAAAAACAGCGTGCCCCTTGTCTCCTTGAGAAATGTTTTCTGACTTACACGTGCTGACAGAAAAACATATGTGGATTACAAAGGGCTGTGAATTGTTGATCCCAGCAATGACACAGGCAATGCTATTGTCATTAGATCTATCAATCAACCTTTAATCCCATTGTGATTGTTGCTACACCATACTGCAGGTCATTCATCCAAACAGGGTTCACACACACACACACACACACACACACACACACACACACACACACACAGGCTAACAGACAGGCTGCCGACCTACATGTGACTGGCCGTAGCCCAGATTTGCTAGCACTAACCCCAGGGGATGGGTTCTGTACTGATTACATATACCCCTTGAATATGCTGGCGGACAAACTGCACCAAAGTAGGTCGTGCAGCACCCTAAACTACAACCAGTGCCCTCCTGGCCTGGTGCAGCGCTTGGCTCCATAGAGCTTTGTGTGAAGCAGTTAGGGCAGGGGTCGCACACTAGGCGATTGGGCCTGGCATGACAGCGTGAAGGTCCCACGTATCTGACAGCTCATCAAAATGTAATCGTTCGGCAAGTCCAGAAGGTGAGGCCTGACAACACCCATCTTGTCAAGTCAGTGCATGTTAAACTGTGAACATATGAGACCACTATATGACCTGGATGTTAGCTACTATCCACCATGGATATCCTGGCATAATCTGAACCGCAAAAAGAGAGTTTTGCAATTTCAACATTGGCTTGCACCACCAAACAACTGATTTAGATTCAAGTATACTACTAAACTCGATTCAGCTTGAGAAAAATACACATATAGATTGTTTTTTCAGGGGGGGGGGGACTTGGGGAAAACCTTGCAGTGATTGCAGAGCTTGGCCGGCTATCAGGCTGTTTTGGCCATTCTGGGGCAGAATCAAACTATAACGCAAAAGGCTGCCCGCTTTTGGTCAGTGGAGCATTACAGCATTTGGCAGGGCATGACCCAGGCTCCATCAGTACTGAGAAAGCGGCGTATCCACAGAAAGACAAAAATTGAGCAGGAACTTTTTTTTAAAAGACAGCTAAGAGAGAAATGGACAGGATAAGGGCCAAGAGGCGAGAGCTGCCCTTGCAGTGGTGGTCACTCTACGGGTCAGTGGATGATTCTGGTTAGACATTAGTCCAAGAAGTACTGTCCTGGGTGGGTTAAACGCAACCTGAACCCATTCTGGGTCACTTGCTCATGAAACAGTGGCACACCACACTTAAGAACAGTGCAGAGGCAGCACCCGACACAAACAAAGGAGTGCCGTTATGCACACAGTAGTAAATTTAACTTCTGTACCTAAAAATCACATCTGCGAGCTTCCATGTCCAGCTTACTGCTCCAGCATGCTTGTTTAAATGCAAGTGCATTATCTCACATTATCAGTTGCTTGGAGAATGCACTAAAGAAGCTGCAGTACACCTGCGATATCATGCTCTGCAAGCCTGCGATGCTATGCAATCCCAGAGGAAAGGAGACGAAATAGCTTTTCTTTCATAATACTGGAAAATCTCCCCTATACTCCTGTGGCTGCCACCTCGCTGTTACATGTGCTTCATTGAAGCCTGTTCATATTCAACTGCAGTGAAGTCAAGGAGAAAGTCTGTGTGTGTATAATATAGGAGTTGGCTCTATACTCCTGTGCCAGTGGGAATAACGTACTGCGCTACAGGCAGTGTGACCTTTTCTAGCTCGTGTGCCTTCTCTCTCCTCCCTCTTTTTGTCTCTCTTTTTTCACACGCTTACTCTCTACCTTGGACACGAATGCACACACCTAGCAGCAGTGTCCCAGCTAGCTTTACCAAGCATAAATTACCCACACTGCTACCTTGTTTAATGGGCATGAGGCTCGTGCAAATCATTTGAGGTAGAGGGTTACAGGACAGTCTGCTTCATTTGTTCTACCTCTCCCACTTCCATCAGGAAGGTAAAGCTTGTCTTGTTTTCTCTATTGTGCCTCTTTTAACATGACCTTTATGGCTGTGTGCTTTCCGGGGCGACAGTTTGTGCTCAAATTGAGGGTTAAGGCCTGCCTGTTTAAAGTGCTCTAACTACCTTCAAAGGCGTATGACGTGGAAGAGGATGGAGAGTCTCCATTATATACAATGTACTTCACTTTCCAGTATTTATTTTCCAGTATTCTTTTAAAGAAATTCTTTGATTTTAGAGTCACTTCTGAAGTCCTACTGCAGTCCCGAGTTGAGTAAAAGTATCTGATTATGGATTTAACAAAGTAAACTTTTAATTTCCTGCAGCTGAAGCAAGAAATAGGGATTATACTTCATTCCAACCTGTGAAACAAAACTAAAGATGGAATTTGGTGACCAAAAAAGTTGTGTAAACTTGAACTTCTAAGAGGCTTCATGTAAAAAAAAAAAATAGCCAGCCAGTAGAGTGACACAATGACAGATCAGGAGTGAGCAAAGTGGGAAAGATAGTGAGGAGGGTGAGGGTGGAGTGGGTGGAGGGAGTTAATGCACATAACACACTGCATCAAACCCAAGCACCGCTCCAAGCAGGATGCGTCAGCAGTCCATTCATGTTCCTCTATTTTCCACGAAAGGACGAGGCAAAAAGAGTGAGAGCAAAGAGAGCTCAAGTGAAAGGAAAACAAAGATAAAGAGTGAGGGGGCTGAGAAAAGATAGAGAGAGAGAGAGAGAGCTTGATAAAAGAGAGGAAACCAGAAAGTGAGAGAAGCGGTGACCCATCAGCCTTTCCTTACCACCAAAGCAAAACTGGAAAGCTTTGCCAGAGTCGTTGGAATGTTTGGAGTACTGCTGGGCACGAGGGGGTTAAAATATGGTTGCTGTGGGGATGCCACTGTCCATCTCTGACTTGTGCTTGGACAGCCTGTCCATTCCCCTAAGCCACAAAAGCCCCAGAAAGCCACAGAACAAGAGACTATGAGCATTAAAAAAAAAAAAAAAGGAGAGCGAAGGACAGCAGGAGCAAACTGGTTTTTGAAGAGGTAGATCTCTAAAAAGGTCTGAGTGCTTTGAGCTCACCCAAATACCTCAGGACACTGCAGAGAGTGTGAGGGAGGCAGGGAGAGAAAGAGGGTGTGAGGGAGAGCAAGAGAGGGTGTGTGTGAGAGAAAGAGAGAGAGAGTGGGAGATAGAGAGACGGTGCACGCTCTCTCTTTCGCTGCTACAACGGATCCTTTCCACATCGACGCTGCTGTTAACGTCACGCCTGTAAGCCGCGCTTGCCCAGCGCTTGCCTTCTCTGCCTTGCTCCTCTCCCAGTTGGACGCTGCATTTGCGAGGGGGTGCTGATCACCACAAGAAAAGGAGGGGGAGAAAAAAAAGAAAGAAAAGAACTGGAAACAAGAAGAAAAAAGAAACAACCCAGAGAGAGGAAGGAGAAACTGCGCGCCATCCCTCCTCCCTCTAACCCACCTCGATCAACCCAGCTACAATACCCCCACTCCTCCCAGCACCCCCTTCCATCCCCCACCCCACTCCCCCTCTGAAGAAACTGACGGATTATTGGGAAGTGCACGGGAGGCAGGCTGCAGCTGCTGCTGTGTGTGTGCTCGCTACTGCTGCTGTATGCTTCGTGGGGATGGTGTGTGTGCGTTCGCAATTGCTGCTGTCGCCACCGCGGCTGCCGAGGCTGGAGCATGTGGCTAGTTAAGAGGAGAAAGAAGATAATGAAGGCTGTGTGTGTCGCCTAGCCTTTTCAACTGCTGCCAAGAGCTCCCCAGGAGAAAAGGAGAAAAAAAAATTAAATAAAGAAGAATCAAGTGGACATGACACTGCGTTGAAAAGGGGAGCAAAGAAAAGAGTGCAAGAGAGGGAGAAGGGCTGTCAGACTGACCAACCGACCAACTGATTGACTACTAAAAAGTGAAAAGAGGAATACAGATAAGGAGGACTGGTTTTTTTCCTGTTTTTTTAACCCCTCCTTTCCACTACAAACAAAAAACATAGAACACTGGAAAGGACTGGATTTTTTTTTTTTATCCTTCTGTAATTGTAATTTCTTCTACCTCCCTCCCTCCTTTTGTTGTTTCCTGCCTTGGGTTTTGTTGCACAAAACAAAAAACAATAGTGCGTGTGCATCTCTGTGGTTGCCTGGACTATGGAGACCTGGCTAAGGTGTTTAACGGGGGGATCAACTGTCGGATTCCAAGGACAAGCAAGAGAAGAGGAGCCGACAGCGAAGAGCGAGCAAGGGAGCACTGCTGCTTTGGGAGCCTGACTGGATTCCTAGCTACAGTCGTTTCCCCCCTCCTTTTTTTTTTTCTTGGTAATCGGCACGTAAAGGAAGAAAAACATTCACAAAAAGGCCTTCGAACCTTTCTCTTTGGATGTATGGATTTACAAAAGGGCTCATCTTGTTTAAGCTCTTTGGCACTGATGCCCGTTTTGACAGGGCAAACATAAAAGGTTTTCTTTGCTGCTCTTGGATATAAATACATCTGATGCGAATACATCAGCTCTTTCTGATTGCAAAAAGGAGGGAAGCTATATATCTCAGTTCAAGGACCTGTAATAATAACTTGAGGTAGGTGTCTAGTGTTTCAAACCCTCTCTGCATCAATTTGTAACACCCTCCCCTCCCCTCTGTCTTGTAATACGGTTTTTGGTTGCTTAATTTGCCATCATGTTCTTCTCATACACATATTTCAGAAAAGCCAGTCCTCTCCACCACCCCATTTCTTTCTGCCCCTGAGCACAGTTCATGGAAATAAAATCACCCCTTAACTGAGGACAGGTCGAGTCCTCTTGCCCCTTAGCAACCACCTAAACCCTTGCTCTCCCCTTGCCCACATCAGTTCCCTTAACCTTATTACTTTGGCCCCATAAACAGTACTGCTAGCCAAACAGCTAATTTCCTTGCACCCACACCCCCAAAACACCAGCCCCAAACATCCCCATCCTCCCCCCCAGATGATGCTGAATTATGAACGTGCCACATCATGAGTCTCCTGGGGCGGGTAGCTGTGCATCGTGCCAGGAAAGCCGCCCTGCTCTGTGTAGTCTTCCTGATGGTGCGAGCGTGGAGCAGCGCCTCCCTGGCCTTGGCGGGGGCGGCGGTGTCTCAAGGACCCCAGGGCTGTCCACCGCAGTGTTCTTGTAGTAATCAGCAGGGGAAAGTGGTTTGCACCCGTCGTGGCCTCACCCGTGTCCCCCCTGGGATTCCTGCCAACACGCGACACCTCAATCTAATGGAAAACGCCATTGAGGCGGTGCAGGCTGACTCCTTCCGCCATCTGCACCACCTTGAGGTGCTCCAGCTTGGGCGAAATGCCATTCGGCAGATTGAGGTGGGCGCGTTTAATGGACTCACCAGCCTCAACACACTGGAGCTGTTTGACAACCGGTTGACGGTGGTGCCCAGTGGGGCCTTTGAATACCTATCCAAACTAAGAGAACTATGGTTGAGGAACAACCCCATTGAAAGTATTCCTTCCTATGCCTTCAACCGGGTACCCTCACTCATGCGACTGGACCTGGGAGAGTTAAGGAAACTGGAGTACATCTCAGAAGGAGCTTTTGAGGGCCTACAAAATCTCAAGTACCTCAACCTGGGAATGTGCAACATAAGGGGTGATATGCCAAACCTAAGTCCCCTCAAAGGCCTCGAGGAGCTAGAGATTTCTGAAAATCTCTTTCCAATGATAAAACCAGGCTCTTTCAAAGGTCTGCGCTCATTGAAAAAGCTATGGGTGATGAACTCTCAAATCACAGTAATAGAGCGCAATGCTTTCGATGACCTATCTTCACTGGTGGAGCTTAATCTTGCCCATAACAATCTGAGCGCTGTGCCACATGATTTGTTCTCCCCGCTCAGGTACCTGGTGGAGCTCCACCTCCACCATAACCCTTGGAACTGTGGTTGTGAGGCTGTATGGTTAGCACGCTGGCTAAGGGAGTACATCCCTACTAATTCAACTTGCTGTGGACGTTGTCACTCCCCTGCGAGCATGAGAGGTCGACAGCTGGTGGACGTGGACCGAGGTGAGGGTGCTGCAGTCCAGTGTTCTGCACCATTCATTGCTGATGCACCAAGGGACTTGAACATCTCAGCAGGGCGAGTGGCTGAGCTTCGATGCCGCACAGCTCCAATGTCTTCAGTGCGCTGGCTCCTACCCAACGGCACTATACTGACACATGCCTCTAGTCACCCAAGAATATCAGTCCTCAATGATGGTACCCTTAATTTCTCAAATGTCCTTGCAGTAGACACAGGCACCTATACCTGCATGGTCTCCAATGCAGCTGGGAACTCTAATGCCTCAGCCTACCTCAATGTGAGTGCAGCTGAGCTTAATACATCCAACTTAAGTTACTTTACCACAGTGACCGTGGAGGTCTTGGGGCCAACCACTGAGATGCCCAAACCTAAAACTACAACAACCACTGCAGCTGCTGCAGGCGCTGGTGTTGCTGGGGGAGGAGTAGGCCTAGGGACAACAACTACAACTGCCTCTCCTTCTGTCTTTCAACCAGTCTTCATCTCCACCCCAACTGTACTGTTGCAAAACACCGACAGTCCACCAGGGGCAGCTAAACCATCTGTGTTGCCAGGAATTCAATCGACTAACAAACCAGGCAAGTCTGGGCCTAGCCTTGATGAAGTGATGAAGACTACTAAGATCATAATAGGCTGCTTTGTGGCAGTGACACTATTGGCTGCTGTCATGCTCATTGCCTTCTACAAATTGAGAAAGCGCCACCAGCAGAGGAGCACTGTGGCAGCTGCCCGCACTGTTGAGATTATTCAGGTGGATGAGGAGGACCTTCCACCACCAGCATCTGCAGCCCAAGAGTCAGCTCTCACATTGCCTGAAATCCGAGACCATAACAGCATACACAAGTTGGACTTTATCAGCCACAAGACTGACTACAGCTTTCACAAACCCAAGGCTGAATACAAACCCCAGCCTGATTTCACACTTCACAAGCCGAAGGCTGAGTATACCACATATAAGCCAAATATGGACTTTAGCAGCCACAAAACCATCACAGATTACAACACACACAAATCTACGCCGGATTTTAGCCTTCACAGACCAAAGCCTGACTGCAGCCCATTTAGACCAGAATATAGCACCCACAAACCTAAAGCAGAATACAGCCCTTTCAAGCCAGACTTTGGTACTCATCCAAAAACTAAATCAGACTACAGCCCATTCAAACTAGATTATAGCACTCATCCCAGGCAGAAGAGTGACTTCAGTCCATTCAAACGGGACTATAGCACTCAGCCGAAACCTAAACATGACTACAGCCCATTAAAATCCGACTACAACACACAACATAGACCTAAAACTGAATATAGTCCATTCAAGCCTGATTTTGGTACACACCCAAGACCTAAACCTGATTACAGCCCATTTAAACCCGACTACAGCACTCAGCCTAAATCCAAAACAGAGTACAGTGCCCAGAGATCTAAAACAGACAGTACCTACAAAGCTAAGGACCACTACACCCCACATAAAACTGCAACAGATTACAGCGCCTTCAAGACTGACTTCAGCCCCCACAAAGTGGATTACAGCGCCTTCAAGTCTGACTTCAGTCCACAAACTCAGAGACCTAAACTGGATTACAGTCCACATAAACTGGACTACAGCTCTCATAAGGTGGACTACAGCACTCTAAAGCCCAAATATAATACCTATAAACCGACTGGCCATGGGGCTAAATGGACAGACAACAATGTTGGGAACTCTTTGCCGCGAACCTTGCCCAGTGCCATCACAGCAATGGCTGAGCCCTATGTCGTAAAAACTCACAACAAGGAGAAGGTACAGGAGACTCAGATTTAAAAAGGCCCCTCCAAAAGGCTCTCACCCCTTTTCCCAGTTTCCTAGCTCCTACTCACCCCTCTTTCACACGCCCCTTGTCCTTTCCTCATTTAAAATCATGCAATAGAATGCACAACGAAAAAAGGACAGGACATACTTTTGTACAGAGTGCAAAACTTAAAAGACTGATGATTTCTTGTTGTACATGCTTATAAATAAATATATATATATGGACGAACTAAAATTACCATGGGTTGGTGATAGAGAAACGTATATTAAAAAGAAATTGAAACTATTTTCTAACTTGTAACTTCTATTTAAAATAATGAGTTGTTTAAGATGCTGTCTTGACTTTGAAAAATGAGGGTAGTCTTGTTTTAACAGAGGGCATTCTGTGTGATTTTTACACCATGCTACAGAGAATGCAGTGATAAGAAAAAAGAATATTTATACAGAGAAGACTTTCTTTAACAAAATCCGGGAAAAAAAAAAGGTCAGTGTTGATCTTTACAGGTTTATCTTGTAAAAGCACCAAGAATTTGTACTGTGCCAAATGTTATAAATGCAATAAAAAGGATTTTTGGAAGAAAAAAAAAAGTATTAGAAAGAGATGTTTTTTCCCCCCCTTTCTCTTCTTTTCCTGGCGTATACTGTAACAATCAGCCAAATGCTTTAGACACTGCAGTAAGATGCTGCAGCTATACTTTAACTCTAAGTGTGCTGAATGAGTCAGGCAGAATGAATCATGGTGCACAAGTGGATGGGGTTTTTTAAAATATCCCTCCACACGTCCTATTATATTATTTACAGCAACAATCTGCTATTTTTTATTTTTTGCTTACTTTTTGTTTTATAGCCATGAGTGACTGTCATGATGCTTTTATCAGCCTGTGGCTGATCAAAGCACGCATTTGATGAAAGTTTAAGTTCAACAAACATGTTAACAGGTTAAAAAGAACTGATGGTCTAGTCAAAGAGACATACAGCAGTGCCATTACAAATACTTTAATTGAAATGCTCATGATATAATGCTTCAAGAATCCAATCTGTGTTACCTACCTCATTTTCTCTATTGCAAGGTAGTCTTATTAATCACAAACGTAATGAGTGAAAAAGGTGCACTTTGCCAAAAAATATAGATCTTCATATCTCTTTTCATTACATTTCCAGCTGTTGGGGCTTCATCAATCAGTATGGGGTCTTTTTATGGTGACAAATGCATTTGGGTCTCACTGTTAACTGTGCATTTTTCATCTTCAACAATATCACCCCTCTCAATCATAATAAAGCCACACAGTTCTAACAAAAAATGATACACCGTGGATAGGAAACACCGCCTGTAGTATTGTGAGACAGGTAAACCACGTATTTTGTCTTTCTGGAATTCGGCCGAGGGGCATTAAAGACCCGCCAACATTTTCTGTGACTGTTTCTTTTCTCTTATTTAATGACAATACTGTGTCTCGAGCTCTGTTTGTTGAAATGTAAAAGAGAAGGTGGTGTGCAGTACACTGGGAGAACATTTCAGTAAACAGCAACATACCATGCTTGGAGTGGGCAACATGTGGGTGAGAGATGACCAAGAGAATACTACAAAAGATCTCCGTGGGAGTTGTGTTGATCATAATCATCACAACCAGCATAGATACTCCTTAGCTAATCAAAACATTATTAGAACGAAGACGTGAAAAGATCCACAGTCACAGATGTGTACTGGGAGCGAAGCTTATGGCTGGTAGTGAAGTTCACAACACCTGTTTACATAATCAGTAAGCGTGGCAAATAAAAAGCTGGTTAAAAGTAGTACTTGTGAGGTGAGCACATAACATATCTGAACTTCTCTCTTCGACAATGTGACATTTCAAACTTTGTGTCACAGGAAGTATAGAGGTTAAATCTTAAACAAAAAAAAGGAGTGTGACAAAAGCTGAGAGCATATCAACTCAATATGCAATAGAGGCTAACAGAAGAGCAGACTGATGTTTATTTGAAGGGGTAAAAAGTCCAGTTCCTAAAAATTTGAAACGGACAAGATGGAGATGAAGTGTGCTGGTGTAAGAAATGGAGGTCAAAAAAGACTGCTGAAGGACACAGCAAAGCACACCTTTTTACAAATGTTTTAGCAGATGTCTTGTGCTTGGAAACATCAAATTGTTGTAGAATAGGAGCATGTGTAATTTAGAGGTCTAACATTGTACATTACAGGGGTATGATATAACCATCCCAATGAAAAGAGACATCTGGAGAGAAAAAAATAAAACAAGACAAAAACGATGAGAGCTGGAAATATTTAGAGCCAGCCCAAAAGGAAAGAATCTCCTGATACACAATGCAAAAAAATAGATTTTATGTTCCGATATGACTAACTTGAGAAAAACTAACCTACTGCAGTGCATCCAGGGCTGTCCAGACAGGCCACCTGGACAAAAATGAGATCAAATCAGCAACAGTTCTTGCTATCCTACCCTGCTTTTTCTGCCATATATTCATTTTGTAGTGTGCTGGGATACGTATAGAAATGCAACAGAAAGAAAAGATAGCAAGTTGAATTATTTAAATTGAAGAGTTAATGTGACCACTTCATCTTGTACTGACCATTTCTAGCTAATTCTCATATCTCAGTTTGCATGCCGTTGTCTCCCACATCTTTTGTTTACTTGTAATTGTTTTGATAACTATGCAAATCCAGACAATGAGCTCCCGATTGTCTCTAATGGGACACGTGTGAGAGGAATGTTCAAACAAGTGTAAGAAAGCAGGATCAGCACGCTCTTTTTAAATAGATAATGTTGTGGGATTTGATGGATTGTAACTAACTGGACAGATGTAAGCACCATATTACGCATTTAGCTCTGTTATGACAGTCTATCATATGCTTGGCAGTGCTATATTACACCTCCTTTGCCCCAGTGAGGTATAGCAGGATGGGGCTTATGCTTCATCACACTGTTCAACCCAGAAGTAGAAAGAGAAAGTATGCTGTGCAATGTGATCACATATTAGGCTGCACTGTGTGCTATAAAAGGCTCCATCATGCTAATCGGTCAAAATGGCTACAGGGTCATCAATCAGCCAATCAGCTTGCCAGTCGGTGAAGAGCCCATCTCCATGGAAAACACTTCTCCACATCCCTTCCTCCTCCACATCATGTTTTTTCCTTTTCCTGTTTATGTGCTTCATTAGCAATCATGAAGCCATTTGAAAGAGGAAGCAGGGTAAGATGAACCTATTTAACCACAGCTCACCGAGCCTGTAGGGCAGGGAGGGAGACGACTTAGAGGACAAAGAAGAGGTAATGATATAGAAACTAAGATATATCAAAGACATTTTAAGTGAGATTTCGTGACAGATTACTTAAAATAAGTTATTGGGAAGGTGGAAATTTGGTAAAAATGGATAAACAGACAAGTATAATAAGCAAAGAGCAGAAAGCAATCACAGAAAATAAGTACGCAGAAAAATGTGGCAGAACTCGATGTGGTGGGAGACTAAAAGAAATACAGAAGACAACATGGAAGTGATGAGAAGAGGTTAATTAAAAGACACAAAGAAAGATAAGCATGGTGGGAGAAAGGGAAAAAATGGAGGAAAAGCAATTGAAAAAAAACTAACCTGAAAATGAGGAAAAGATGGAAATGGAGCTACCAAAAGAGGGGAAAGGAATTCAGGAAGAGTGAAAGAAAGCAAAAGCAAAGGCACTTGGGGAAGAGGAAACAGAGCAAATGTGATGCAAGAGTGCCAGCTACAGATGGAATAGGGGATATATAACTTGGCCGTCATGGCTCTCGCATGATTGGTGAATGGCCTGATCTGCACCACAAGGAGAGTATGTGTGTGTGAGGAGGGGGGGTGGGTTACGTAGCAGAGTGCAGCAGATGAGAAGTGCTGATACAAGAAATGGACCACTGTGCTTGAGTAAGAGATACTCAGGAATATAAAAGCAGAAAGGAATGAAATGGAATAGCAGGGACGAGGTGTGTATGCTTTCAGTGTCAAAGGTCAAAGTACTTAAACCTGCTGGAAAGTAAACATACTCGCTCCTCTATTCAATTAAAAAAAAAAGACTAAAGTAGTTCATTTTAAACTAAAAGGGGATTGCAGGACATTTCAAAACCCAATTATTTTGATGCAATCTTTTAATTAGGTTTTTTTCCTCATGTTAATTACCATGCAGTATAGAAGCTGGGACGAGTAAAAGTATTTCTTTAATTTTAACCTACACCTACAGCCATTGTAATCAACAGCATCAGCCATGCAAAAGCCAACTCCTCAAAAACATATCTGCAAAATGTCTCCCAAAAAACAACAACAACTAAAAATCCGAAGGTGTTGCTTCTTAACGTTCAAGTGTTGTTTTTTGTGATAACTCCATAATTTGCATATCCATAAGCGCAACATTTAACCTTGCATTTTTCTTTTATGGATTAGTTAGTACTAAAAAAATATACTCCTGTTAATAACAGAGTATGCAAACTGCCCGGTTGAAGCGAAGGATGTGTGCTGCACGGTGCATACTCTAGGATTTCTGTGTGAACACTAGCCACTGTGCTAGTGGAGCAGAGGAGAGGATATTCTAAGCAGGCCTGTGAGCGTGCTGCCTTGTGAGTCAACATGAGTCAGGGCCAAAGAGTTGTTGGGTCCTAATGTCAAATAGAGAGACTGTAACAGAGAGCAGAGTCAAAGGTGGAAACGGTAAACCACAGCACAAAGACAGAAGAATAAAGCAGGGACGTGCTTATTATGACAAAATTTTGATGGTTTAAGGGAGTTGGATTATTGACTTACTCTGTGTTAATCATTTGGCTTTACTGCATTATCCTTACTAATAACATTACTACACGAAGAATGCATGCTACACTGAGAATACATTTTACGAGCTTTGCAGATATTCATTTTGAAATATCAAGGAACGTTTAAGGAAGGTAATGGTGACAGTTGTGCATGTGGATTAGAGGAAAGGCAAGTGGATGCGTGCCGGTGCATCTGCTTCAGCTGTGTGAAAATGGATGCAAATAGCCATATTCAGTGACCAGCTGGTGATATGATTTGTTGTTACTGAGGTCAACAGAGGCAGAAGAAGAAATTGCATCGCAGTATCCTGCTGGCAATGTGCCTAGTGCAGTTGAGGCTGTAATGTTGAATAGGTGTATGCCAATAGACTGACATACACCGTGGTCGAATTCCCACAGATTTTGCTGCCGTAACCGAGAGTGAATGACAGGTGGGCTGCTTTGTTTTTTTTTCCCTCCTCCCCCCACGAGCTAACCGCTCAAGTGTGTTACTCCCTGTGAGACAGAGTTTATTGCCCTTTTGGTGGGTGAAAAACATCCCTGTTTTCTTAACAGCAAGAGACGATGAAGCCTTACTTTTATGATCCCATCCAACAGTTGAGTCTTAGGTGTGTGTGTGTGTGTGTGTGTTTTTGTGTGTGTACTAAATCATGTCCACTGAGAGCAACAAACAGGGGACTGAGACATATG